CTAAAGTATCAATTTACCTATTTTCCCTTTTCCCTTAAATTATGTGTATGGCCCAATGTGGACATTTTTGTAGCCCGTAGTTAAATATGTAATAAATCATTAATGTGATATTGTTGTTTGTATTTCTTGTATTTTCTACAATTTAAAACATGGTTTTTTTATTTTAATAAAAGGATAAAGATTAAAAAGTTTCTGGAGAAAATAATTGGATTTTTTTAATTTTGAAGGAAATGAGATAAACTGATAAAACCTCGTGAGAAATGTAAAAAAAAACACTGTCATATCGTCACTCTATTAAATATTTGATTGTAGGCTTACAAAATGACCATATTAGGCTCATAAACATAGTCTAAAGGGAAAATAGGTAAATCGATACTTTAGGAGGGAAGTTGTGAGTTTTTTCCTTCTTTTTTAAATTTTATTTAAACCATCATAAGTAGGAAGTTGAAAAAGTTCACCAATACTTTAAGCGGGGTTGATGAGGGACAAGTTAAGATTGGATTAATTTTAGTAATATAGTTAGGATTTTGTTGCATCTAGATTTTATTTTATTAGTTGATAAGGACTAGTATTTTGAAATTTTATCATTTTAGATATTTTTTGTTAGATTTTTTGTTATGATTATTTTTTTAAATAAGTTTTGGTTATTTTATGTTATTTATAGTATTAAGTTTTTTCCTTATAAATAAAATGTAATCCTCCATGAGGAAGACAGACAATGATTACTGAAAATGTGAATTTCAGAAAAACATGTGAATTGCTTGGCGTAAAGCCATCTTTTTTTGAATTGGATGTTGCATGTGAACGAAAACGTCCGAAATTTTTTGGATGAACAGTACTATTAATAGCGTTCTTGGGTGAACAGTGACTTCCCCTTTTTTTAAATAATAAACAAAAGGAAAAAGGATAAGATAATTGGGGTTAGATTAGTTTCACACACCATCTAAGATCTAACTCTGAAAGATGGCTTCACGCCTAGCAACTCACATGCTTTTCTCAAACTCACATTTTCATCAATCATTGTTTATCTTCCTCCTAGAGGATTACATCTTATTTAGAAGCAAAAACTTAATACTAAATATAACATCAAATCAATGTTTTAAATGTCGGATGTCGGGTTCATGTCGGATGACTAAAATCTCATATCGGATAGCGAAAATCAGGGATATATCGACTTATCGAGGGACATTGATTAAATATCGAGTGGTGCGCATATGTATAATACCATGTCCTAAATGTAATCTAAGTATTCCTAAATTCAATATAAGCATACTTTATAAATTCTAGAGACGGTGACGGCGTTGGGTGGATTCCGACGTCGCAAGGAGTCAGTGCTGGCAACAAGACGTCGTAGGGAGACAGTGTCGGGGCTTTTCTTCTTCGTCTGCTTGGGGTCCTTCGGATGAGTCACCGACCATCCTCTTCCCTTTATCCCGATGACGGGACATCCTGTCGCCCTCTGGTTCAATTGGAGTTCGGATTTCGGGGCGTAACGGGAGATGGACGACGGGGGGCCGAGATAGAGGTGGGGGAATGGCGTCATCGTTCACAAAAGGAGTGATAGGTTCCCAAGTCCGTTGGAGTCCTAATTTTTCTTTTTTCTTTCTATCGAGTTCATAAGAAATCCTTAAACATGAGAACGGGTTAAACGAGTTTGGATTTTTATCACTAAACCCAAACCCGATTACAAAAAATAGATCTAAAAAAAGGGTCATGTCGGCTGATTTTTCAAAGCTAAAAAATCTGTCGATATGCCCGATATCAAGGTTTTAAATATCGGATGTCGGGTTCATGTCGGACGGCTAAAATCCATGTCAGATAGCGAAAATAGGGAATATATCGAGGGACATGGACTAAATATCCGATTGTCATATCGGGTGATGCGTATATGTATAATATCATGTCCTAAATGTAATCTAAGCATTCCTAAATTCAATATAAGCATACTTTATAAATTTTATAGACTAGACATATAAAAAAGTAAATCAACAATTCCTTTTACTTAGCAATCAACGACTCAACAACAGCACAAACTGAAAGTCGGGAAAAAAAATGCAAATAGAAAAAGGGTCATGAGAGAGAGAGAGAGGTCAGTGCGGCTTAAGTGAAAAAATGTAAACAGAAAAAGTCATTAGCGAGATAGGGAGAGGGGGAGGGGTGAGAGAGAGAGAGAGATAAAGAGAGAGAGGCTTACCAGTTACCAGCGATGTGAGGACCCTCCGAGGCTCCGATGGCGTAGGGAAGAAAGAGAGAAGAAGGCGGCGCTGTGAGGATGAGAGGAGAAGCCGAGGATAGGGAGGCTTACCAGTGATGTGAGGACCCGATGGCGCAGGGAAGAAAGAGAGGAGAAGGCGGCTCTGTGAGGACGAGAGGAGAAGCCGAGGACCACGAAATCAAAACGACGAAGATCGTGAGCCCTAGGGTTTTTCTTTTCTTTCTTATGATCGGGGTGTCTATCGGGTTCGAAAAGAGCCTCCTATATCCGATAAAAGGGTCAAATGGGTTTCGAACCCAAACCAAACCCAAACCCACACATTTGAACCGATAAATGGGCTTATTGGCCGATTTTTCAAACATGAAAAAGTCAGCCGACATGGCCGATATTTCGCCGATATATCCGATATCTCCTTGAAAAACGACATGCGACTTAAAATCCCCTAATTCGTGTCGCTCGACCCCTCAATCCGATATATCGGTCGACATGTCTGACATGTCGGCCGATATTTAAAACACTGCTCGATATGACCTCGATATTTCCGATTTGACCCTGAAAACCGACATACGAGTTGAAAACGCTCATGTCGTGTCGCTCAAGCCCTCAAATCGACATGTCGGTCGACATTTAAAACCTTGCATCAAATCACTAAAATCTTATTTAATAAAAATAAAAATAATTATAATTAATATATAATAAAAATATCTAAAAAAATAAAATCTCAAACTACTAATCCCTATCAACTAAAATAAAATCTAGATGTAACAAAATTCTAACTATATTATTAAATAAAATTAATCCAATCTTAACTTGTCCTGCATCAGGGGTTGGTAATTTTGTTGGAAAAAATTCTAAGATTTGTGGAGAAATTGGGGAAAATTTGTTTGTGTCTTTCATCAATTATTTCTAGTTGTTGCCCGTTACCTCTTTTTTTGCCTAGTCTTGACAATCAGTGACACAATCTATGGCAAGAAAGAGTGAATGCTAACATTGATAATGTAGATGATAGTTAGAGAGGAGATTGGCAAGATGCGAGGGAATTTTGAAAGGGAGATGGGAAGGCATGAGAATTGAAGAGGGAGATTTAAGTTGAGAGGAACTTGAGAACAAACATTGTTCTGAGAAGAGAATATACTTTTGGATCCAAAATCATGGGACCAACTATGAGACACCAACTATCAGTGTTTTCAAAGGTGTGCGCCTCACTGCGCTTTATGCGTCATGCAATGTGGGGTGGTGGCGAAGCGTCCTGCATTTGATGCAATAGCACCTTTTGCATTTCGCATACATCCTAACTTTGCGCAGGGTGCTTGTATTTCATACCCTTATATAGTTTTGTTTGTCAACATTTCAATCGAGTCTTTATACTCGATAATCCATATCCTGAAAAACAAAATAAATCCATTAGGTCTTTTTGGTGGTCTTCAATTAAGGATCATAGTTAATCCCTTGCTTGGATATTAGTCTTGATTTGACATTTGATTTGAGAATTATGAATTTTGCTACTATGTTCGGTGTTAGCATTAGAAATTAAGACCTAATACTGTGATTTTGTAAGATTTTATTTATCCTAGCATTTTTTATGCGAATTCCTAAACATGTTCATTCGTGTTTGATTATATATCTTGAAAAATTGTGTGCGGTGTGCGCCTCACATCACTGGGGCGCGCGCATCGCGTTGCGCGTGGCGCACATGTGTGCGTAAAGATGCTTTGCGCCTCACGCATGTGTGCGTAAAGATGTTTTGCGTCCCGCATTGCGCCTCGTGCGTTGACAACACTGCCAACTATGAGACATGTGATTGTGTGTCTCCTTGTTAGTCATTGGTATTTATGGGAACATAAATAAAATGAAATGTGTCGCTTGTTCTCATGGTTGGTCCCATGAATTTAGGGTCAAAAAAGGTGCATTTTTGGTAATACGTCTTTGATGCATTTTCTCATGTTTTCAATATTTAGTTGTTCAGGGTCTTATCTTAGTGCTAATGAAGGTTGATTTTTCGTGGGGAAGATTTTGAAAGGATATGCAAATTGCAAAATGATTGTCTGTTGGTTGTGGGATATGTTACCCTGGTACCTCTATCATGAATTATACATGTACTGACATGAAGCAATTACCAACACATACTGTACTCCTTGAACACTTCTATCATGTATCGCAGACGTACTCCTTGAACACTTCTATTATGTATTGCAC